CTTAAATGATGGAAAATCTAAAATTGTTTCATGTTTTATATACCGAAATCATTTATCTAATCAACATTTTATCAATTTGCTAGTTTTCACAAATGTGTTTGTTTACTGGTTTTTCTTCAATAAATAAAACTGAAAATTGACGTTGAGAAGTTAAAGTGGGTAAATTTTCTTTTTCGGGGAACTTTTGAAGGTAAAACGTAATCTCTTAAGTAAATGCTGATTGGCAAGGTCATTCGTACTCTTGATGATAATATTTATAATGTTGAATTATTTTAATTAAAAACTCTTAAGTATAAATTGTAAATAATTTAACTTTTTTATTAGCTTCTTTTCTTGAAATAAAATTAGGTGTATAAAATGTTTACGAGTCCTCAAAATGAATGACATCCTTTTGAACATCATCCATTCGGATGATATTTGGATTGGGTAGCATTTGGATATCGAATTTTTCTTGGTCAATCATGTCTAGGCTAAAACATAAAAACAAACTTTAATTATTTATTTCAATACTTTTATTAAGTTTTTGATATTTTCACAATCACCATCGCAGTTAGGTAATTTCATTTAATTTCTTTCAAAAGATAAAAACAAATCAGTTGAATATCTGCAAGACGGTGAACGATAAAACTGATACGATGATGGAGAAAACTGTCATTGGCGCTGAACTGATCGCTTCAAGGAAGTCTTTCATGTACTTTTCATCCCAATCTAAATTAGCTCTCAAGTCATTCAAAGATTTCTGTAATGAATCAAAGGAAGAGTCGAGTTCAGTTTGAATTCCATCAAGGAAGGTTTGGTAAGTGTCGAATTGTTCAACTTTCGTGAATCTTCCAGCAACAGTTGTCAATGTTGCCAATCCGTTGAATCTGAAACAATGAAATAAAAGAAATTCAGAATCTAATCAACCATGTTAAATAAAGTTAATTAAATATTTTACTTCTCTCGCCAGTCAACGTAATTGGTGGTGATGTAATCATACAAGAATTGTGGACCTTCAGGGTTGGAATTCAACATGTTGTTGATTGCTGTAGTTCTGTCTTGTGCACGAATGTCATCAGTCTTAATAAGACGATCCAAATATTTCTGAAACATTTCAACAATGATTTAATGTAAATTAAATTTCTAAACGTGAACTTACATTGACCGAATCGGAGTTTTTGGTGCAAGCCATGCCACCTAACAAATTAAGTTGTTCAGCTGCAATGTCTTCATTCATGAACCGATCGTACAAGAAGTCGAAGTCACTTTCATCTCCTTCACGAACGCCACTACAGTAAACTACGCTGCGAAGATCTTTATGTGGTTTCGTTCCATCATTCTTGAATTTAGCGAAATGTTCTTTCGCCAGTTCGATGCATCCTTCGTGTCCATATTTGCAAGTCCATGTTAAGATGTTGACTCGATTGTAAATGTCAGTTCGACTGTCACTTGTCTTGGGTTCAAAGGTGAGATGATCGTAAATGTCGGTCGTCATGTCTCGAATAAAATTCGCGANGCATTTATTAAAACAGATTAAAATAATTTAACTATTATTTATTGGATAAAATTAAGTAATAAACGATCATCATCGCAGTTATGTAGGTAATTTTATTTAATTTCTTTCAAAACATAAAAACAAATCAGTTGAATATCTGCAAGACGGTGAACGATAAAACTGATACGATGATGGAGAAAACTGTCATTGGCGCTGAACTGATCGCTTCAAGGAAGTCTTTCATGTACTTTTCATCCCAATCTAAATTAGCTCTCAAGTCATTCAAAGATTTCTGTAATGAATCAAAGGAAGAGTCGAGTTCAGTTTGAATTCCATCAAGGAAGGTTTGGTAAGTGTCGAATTGTTCAACTTTCGTGAATCTTCCAGCAACAGTTGTCAATGTTGCCAATCCGTTGAATCTGAAACAATGAAATAAAAGAAATTCAGAATCTAATCAACCATGTTAAATAAAGTTAATTAAATATTTTACTTCTCTCGCCAGTCAACGTAATTGGTGGTGATGTAATCATACAAGAATTGTGGACCTTCAGGGTTGGAATTCAACATGTTGTTGATTGCTGTAGTTCTGTCTTGTGCACGAATGTCATCAGTCTTAATAAGACGATCCAAATATTTCTGAAACATTTCAACAATGATTTAATGTAAATTAAATTTCTAGACGTGAACTTACATTGACCGAATCGGAGTTTTTGGTGCAAGCCATGCCACCTAACAAATTAAGTTGTTCAGCTGCAATGTCTTCATCCATGAACCGATCGTACAAGAAGTCGAAGTCACTTTCATCTCCTTCACGAACGCCACTACAGTAAACTACGCTGCGAAGATCTTTATGTGGTTTCGTTCCATCACTCTTGAATTTAGCGAAATGTTCTTTCGCCAGTTCGATGCATCCTTCGTGTCCATATTTGCAAGTCCATGTTAAGATGTTGACTCGATTGTAAATGTCAGTTCGACTGTCACTTGTCTTGGGTTCAAAGGCGAGATGATCGTAAATATCGGTCGTCATGTCTCGAATAAAATTCGCGAACGTTTCATGATCTTCATCAGTGGAAAGTCGTTGAGATAAGAAAGTCAAACCATGACTGAAAGCGGACAACCAGGGAATGTAATGCTTCTCTCCCTTAATGTACCCAATGATGTCCATTGCAGTTTCGTAATCAACGATTCCAGCTCTTGCTAAGTTGAATAAATCATCGACAATCTGTGCTCGATTCATGACGTGAATATTGTCGTGATTATTCATGTAAAGAGCTTCTCGAATTTGTTTCCAATTCTCTTCATCGTAATTGATTCTGTAAAAGTTTGTCTGCTTCGGATTGAGAATGTAATACTTTGTTGGTTCCTTCGGCAGTTGAATTTCTTTTGTTTCTCCGTCTTCAATTCCGAAAATGACTTTAGGAACGGTGTCGTCGTAGTTCTCTGAATCAATTGCATAAGTTATGGGAATATTGTAAAGTTCCTTCTTGCTGTCATCAATTCCCGATCTCATGAATCGATGTTGTGTTAACTTTAATGTTGTCCCATCAACTTCTGTGACAGTTACAAGTGGAAATCCGCTGGTATTAGTCCAAGGTGCCCAGAAGTTACTCGTTTCTGTTTCTCCCATCACTTCATCAATAGCTTCGAAAAGTTGATCAGGTTCTACAGTCTGATAACGGCTATGAGTATAAAAAAATAAATCTTTAAAATATTTGGCAGAAAAGTTTAAATTAAGTCTCACTTAGTACTCAAATGATAGCGTAAAGTTTCGTGAAATTTAGGTAAGCCAATGTTGTACGATAACATTCTTATGATTGCTGCTGCTTTGCTATAAGAAATTGTATCAAAAATAGCATTTGCTTCAGGTTTCGTATTAACATTTGGTTCAGTCATTGGATGCGTGTCATCAGTTGAATCAATTTGCATTGAAAGTTGCAAATTTTCAACAACAAATTGTTCTTCCAACTCCCAATCAGTTCTTAACATTGCAGTGCCTAAGAATTGGAAATATCGTGCAAAGCCTTCATTCAACCAAGTCTCACTCCACCATTTGCATGTCACTAAATCACCAAACCACATGTGAACTTGTTCATGAGTTATCACTGCTATGATCTAAATTATAAAATAAAGAAAAACATTAAATAAGTCTTGAAATAAGTTTTAATAAAAACTGTAAATATTTTACCCTTTGTTCGTTCAGCGATGGAGTGTCATCGGGATAAAATAAAACGTTCGTTTCTCGGAAAGTTAAAAGTCCCCAATTCTAGTAAAGAATATTTTCCTCTAATTAACATTTTTTAATAATTTTATCAAACTCACCTCCATTGCTATTTTTACCGGAAATTTGCATTAACAGAAGAAATAAAATTATCATTTTATTTCTTAAAATAATTTTCTTAAATTACTCACCACCCGAACTGAAATCGGGAATTGCTGCAATATCCATTTTCGTCATATTCTCTTTGTAGTAATCAATGCCATAAAGTGTGTTTAATTCAGCCAACATTTCTTGACCAAAATCAAGAGCTAAAGTTGTTTGATTCTTTGCTTCTGGTCTTGCCCACACGCCAAAAGTTCCATCGCTGTTCTGTTGAGCTTCGTAACCAGAAACAATGAAAGCAAGCAAATATGATGACATTTTAGGAGTCCACTCGAATTCATCTTGTTTCCATGTCATTCCATTAACTACAAAATCAGTTTCAGCCACTCTTTCTGTATTCGACACAGTATTCATTGTAGGTGGTCGTCTCATTCTTAGTTTAAACATTGCTTTGTATCCAGGCTCCTAATATGAATAGTTAAAATTTATTATTTCGATTGTAAACTTCTTTAACTTACATCGAAACATGGAAAAGCTCGACGAGCTTCTGCTCTTTGAAATTGTGTTGATGCCATCCAAACTCTTTGACCACCTTCATAGTAATAACTTTTGTAGAATCCTTTCATATCATCACGCATGTAGCCAACATAATTAACAGTAAGAATTATGTCGTCAGATGGCGATATTGGAGGTGAAACATTAATTTCCCATTTATCGGTTTGATTATCATAAGTTGATGGGTCGTATAATTCCATAGGTTCGACAGTTGCATTTCTGGTAAAGAAATAACTTTCGACATCCATGTCATAGTGATGCAGAACGATCTTATCAACATTATCTTTTGTCGCTTTCATAGAAATCATAACTAAACCATCAAAGGTGAAAGCTTTCTTGCCATTTGATTGCTGAAATTATTCTCATTCATTAAAATATTTTTCTCAGATTAAAATCTTTTCACTTACATCTTCAAAATATGGTGTCAAAGTGATTTCATATGACTCGGGAAGAACATCGTCGTTTAATCGATAATTTCCATCTCCCACCGCAAAAGGTGTAAACTCAACATCGTAAGGTTCGCGATGAGGTGGTGACGCCAATGTCAATACAATGGCTAATGATAACAGCAGTAAAATCTTCATTTATCGTACCTGTAATAAGATTAAATTGGGATTCCTTAAATATATCAATTCCGTGTTAATACGTGACACTTTACATTATTTATTATCTAATCTGTTTTTACTCTTATTTTGAGTGGCAATTCTTATCGATAGTGTTTCATAATCACACAACTTTGCTGATCTGTTGAAAATATTTAGCCACATGACTAAGTATGTCGATTTTGGAATTGAAAATGTTTTGAATTTTTCTTCGTGAAATTATTTTCCTCATTTTACAATTCAACATATTTCATTTTCGAAAGCAGAGTGTTTGACGCTATTTATAAATTGTTTAGTTATTTATAAGACAAGACATTTTTTCCATAATCATGCTGTCAATATTTATGTTTAATAATTATGCAAATGAAAAATTTTATTCATTAACATGATCAAAATGTTCAGATCAAAACGAAGACTAAAATAATTTATTTCTGATATTTAATAACTTTTATTAATTACCTTTAATCAATACTTTTTTCAGTTTAAGTTGTGATTGAAGTGAAATCTTATTGCAAACTGAGCTGTTTTTAATGGGTGAATTAATTTAAGCCTCACTATTTATCAAAATTGATTAATATTTTCTTATCAAACAATTGAGGTTGATATCTCAAGAATGACCGATAAACAGAGTAATAAAGGATTGGCAGTAGATTTAAGAAATATCTTATCAATAGGTGATTCAAACGTGACGGCGATTAAAAACTAATCAACAAGTGGTTTCAAGTGATGAATTATAAATAAAGCATGAGTAAAGTTATTAATAGCGATAATGTGACGTTGAAGATTCTTCCATTCTTATCATTCTTATCAAATGATTCAAAGTTCAATTTATTATCGTTAATTATGAAATCATTAAATGAAGAGTCATTTCGAACCTTTAAGTATCTACTTTGAAGCCTGAATAACAATTAATTGTCATGAACATTTTACAGTTTTAAGTTCTGAGATAAAGAAAGTTGTTTATCACCTTGACAAAAGTGCATAAACATTTACATCTTATTTTAGGTAAATAGGTATCTACTTTCTTTAATGCGTAACCTTGCATTTAATAACATAAATAAAAAATAAAAAACAATTTTAAAAATGAGTGAGCGAATGTAAACCTTCAGAGTTGTTGCGCAATTTTCTTTTTGTATGCATTTACGGTTCGCTGTTCTTTCCAAAACCAGTCTTGTTTCTGATGGCGATGGAACATCCACTTCTGTTATTCGCTGGAATTTATGCTATAAGAAATCTACCAAAAATTCTTCTTTTCTATGGTGCATTTATAATAATAAAAAGAGTTGTGATAGCGTATCACGATGACTAAAAATGTGAACTGAAAATAACTTTAAAGATATAAGCGAGTGAGTTAAAATATGTGAAATTAAATGCAGATTTTTTTATTAAAAATTTATATAATTTATGTAGATAATCAATTAATTTTAACTTGTTGTTTTAGGTTTCTTTCATCTCATGGCGTTGAATTTCAATTGGAATACAAAGAAGGAATGCTTCGTTTAATGACCTAAACACACTCAAAACCTGATTTTTTGATATATTAAGGTCAATGACGTTTTTAAGTTTAAGATTTCCTGAAAGCACTAAGTCTAAATTGTTAGCTAAATTTAAGTTATAAATTTATTTATTTATTTTTATTTCAATAAACTTCTCAATTTTTTATTTATTTTTTAAAACAAATTATTTATGACTCTTCTTAGCTCTCCAATCGAAAAATTCTGGGATTTCTTCTTCCATGTCATCGTCATCATCTATCGATGTTATTTGATTTTCTACATTCTGAAGTTTTCCCTGTTTGAGCTTGGATTCAATTATTTCTTTTTTCTTTTCTAACTCGAGGACCCTGGAAAACAATTCATAAGAATTTCGAACATTTAAAAAAAATTCAAATATCATACCTCGACCAATTCTTAATTTGAGCATCAATTTCATCGATTTGACGTTCGGCAGTTGCCTCTTCTTGTTCTTCGTTTATGATGTTCATCGAAAGAGCTTCGGCTTCCTTTATTTCTCTTTGGAACCTCTCCCATTCCTCTGCAGCTTGATCTCTTACTTCAACATGTCGTGCTTTAGCATCTTTAACTGGATCATCGAAGAACCCTTCTGGAAGTGACTCATCAATTTGATTTTTATCTTCAGATTCATTGGCAGTGGAAGCTGTTGAGCTTTGTTTATTGTTTGATTGATTTTTACTTTTAGAATCGAAAAAGTCATCAGGAATTGCTGAAGTTGCCTGTGATGTAACGGAATCTTTTATTTTCTGCGAACCATCTACGGATTCGTTTTGAGTTTTGAGTCTTTTCTCTGAAGTTTCAGTTACTGATCTCATCCTCTTTAGTGCAGCAAGACGATCTTCAATCGCTGGTGTTTCCTTAGCTTCTAACTTTTCTTTTAACTGTTTAGCAAGAGAAAGATTCTCTTTATGCTGCTTACTATTGACATGAACTTTCCAAACTGCTGCTGATCGAACAACACTTTTGCAGAGTTGACAAGTAAGTTGTCCATTGTCATATTTGGCGAAAGGCGAATCGATTTTAGACTCATTGGAATTTCCGCTGTTTCTGGATAACTTCTGCTCTTGCATGATCCTTCTGAGATCATGTTGATTGACTTTCTTCTTTGCTAATTTGAATGCGGCACTCATTGTGAAATGTTCTACAAAGAGAAATTTTTCAGTGGAAATTGATTATTTTGGAAATTATCTTCTAATATAGAAATATTTTCGGTTTTGTTTAAATGTTTAACAAATGTTCATATTTACCAGTAATATAAATATTCTTCTTAAGCTTGCTATGCTTTTAAAAAATGTAAAAATGAATTTTTAGTTCGAATTTGTTATTGTTTACTTGCAAACGTTTACGTTTCTTACGTTAAAGCTTACGTCTACGTTCCGACTTTTGCGGTTCAAAATTGTTGTAAACGGTTCAAAATCGGTGTCGACGGGCTCAAAGAAAAGTAGTTTAATTATTTTTAAGAAAAACTTCTAAACCTAGTAACAAGAAAGTTTTTAATAGCTCAAAACATTATAATTATCTTATATATTTCATATATATTTGAATTAAATTCATTTCCTTAGCATCATCTTGTTTTAACTGAGAAAACTTATTTTTTCACAACTTTTTAGAAGAAATGGCGACAGAAGATATTTATTTACCTCCTGATGAGGAACTCACCGTGCCCGAGGTGAATTTATCGAGTCCGGCATTAAGAGCTGGATCCTTTCATATGGGCAAATATTGTGAAAATCAAAACAATGTGAGTAATTTGCAATAAATAAGAAACATGTTACATCATCGCACTTTGAATCAAAACAAACTTATTTTCGAACCTATTCTTCAACATATTTTAGGAGTTTATGCTATGCCGAGATGAGTTAGATGATCCAAGAAAATGCATAGCAGAGGGACGTGCTGTTACTGCTTGCGCTTTAGAATTCTTTAGAAAAGTCAAAAAGTCTTGTTATGAAGAGTTTACTCAATACACGACATGTTTGGATAAGAGCAGTGGTGATTTGGCCTTTAAGCAGTAAGTTTGCATATTTTTTAAATTAAACCATTCTGATGCAGACTTTTTGTAAATTTTATCCAGCTGCCGATTAACACAAGGTAAATTTTCATAACTAAATCTTATTTATAAAAGTTGCTTGTAACAATCTTATGTCAATCACATTATAGGCGTTTATGATAAATGTATGTTGGATAACTTGAATCTGGAACGTCCTCCATATGGATATTTCTGTCGTGTAAGAGTTCATCACACAGATCGTCCTGAACCTGAAAAGCCGGGCAAAGTTGTTTATGCTGATGCTACTCCTGGTCTACCAGATGACTATCCCCGAACACCAGCTAAATTTGGAGCCAGATTCCACTGGATGGAGTAAATCATTTAAAATTTTTTTGTTTAGAAAATTAAATAGTCGCGGAATTTCGTGGATTTCAATAAAAATATTGAAAGAATTACAAATATAGGGTAAAGTGACATAAAGTGGTTACAAAAAAAAAAGAGGACCTATTGTGGTAACACCTAATTTCGAATGCGATTTTCTTCGCTATTTTACATTTTTATGGCTCAAAACTTTTTACAGAAGTGCTTTGAACTATCTACTCTACTTCTGTACAAAGTTTTGAGCCATAAAAATGTAAAATAGCGAAGAAAATCGCATTCGAAATTAGGTGTTACCACAATAGGTCCTCTTTTTTTTTGTAACCACTTTATGTCACTTTACCCTACATCCTTTAAATGTGAACTTTTAATTTCTGTTTCCATAGTCGTTGCGTATCCATGTCTATGATTGACACATTTTTCCTTTACTTCTCGTCTTTTCTCTTATCAATTTGATTAATTTTAATGTAACGAATATTAACGTGCATTGAATTCGAAAATTCCTTCATAAAATGTAGTAGAATATAAAATAATTTCCTAGACTCCCTAGGTAGTACAAATTCCTTGACAAATTCCAATCTTAATTCTTTGTTTGACCGGCGTAAGATATTTAATTTAATAATAATCTCAAAGCGTTGACACACAGGTATTTAATTATAAAAAAACTGAAAACAAACCATTCTTCATGACATTTGTCGCATTAAAATCATTCAAATAAGTAAACAAAAATAAAATAATAAGAAAGCGTCTTTTCTCGCAGTTTTTATTTCTTTCCAACTTTGTTATTGTCGTCAGAAGCTACGAATTAGACAGAAAAAATATTAATATACCTTAAGATCTTCAAATCTATATTTCCTATCAAATATAATTAAACATAAAACTGTTCGTGACATAAAATCATCTAAAAGAATCGATAAAATTGTGTTACAGCTGAAAAATGAGAAACTTCCAAAGAGGAAATCGAAATAATTATGGATCGAATTTCTCGAGAGGTGAAAGGCGAAACAATCAAGATAGTCGCTTCGACAGTAATAATGATAGCTATAAAAGACCAGGAAACAGAGTGAGTGTTAGAATTTAATTAAATTGGTTTTCATCAATGATATAACCTCAAATTGTTTGCTTTTAAGGGAACGAATCGTAATTTTGGTGATCGTGACAGAAAGTCGAGACATGGCTATGAATCGAGAAATTCCTATCAGGTAATATTGTTTATTGTGTTTACTTTGCTTCCTTCATGATTTTTTTAATATTTCTGATTTAAAATGTTTATTAAATGTCTTATATAATTTTTCTTAAACTTCCAATGATACGAAAAACTCCAAAAATAAAAATATAAATAAACAGAAATTCACTTCAATCGAAACATGATGAGATTGATAGTATTGATAATGGAACCAATTAAGATAAAGGACAAAAATAAGTCACATTTCTGTTTTTATGTCATTTGAATTTATGGTGAAAAGTAAACCATAAGATGATCTGAAAGATTTCTTAATGATACAGTTCTTGGTCATGTATAATGTTTTATAAAATTTCAACAACACAAAGCAGGATCGACGTGATAGTCATGGAGATAATCGAGGAAACTTTAGATCTTATCAAGAGAGGTCGTTCAAGGACCAGAAGTTTGAAAGATCCTATCGTAATCAGACACCTCCAAGATCGCGTGATCGTGGTTCATGGCATGGAGATGCAAGAGACAACCGTTCCAGCAACATAAGAATGAGACAACATTCACCACCGTCAACTTCATCATTTCGAGTTCAGAATGATTTTGGCTCAAGGCCTCGCTCAAACCGTGGACGGATGACATCCCATCGTGGAATGAGAACTGCTGGATCACGTATGTTAAATAGAGTTGATTTGAGGAGTAGTTTGATTTCAAAGAATAGGTCTAAAGAATACATTCGAAAAATCAGACAAGCACGCTTAAAACTCAGTGATTCAGGTAGAAGAAAAGCATCTGAGGAAGAAAAATCTCCTTCAAAAGAAACCAGCAAAGAACAGAAGCAAAATGACAATGACGAAGATTGTTTGGATGTAGCTAATGACGTGAATTTTGAAGAAGATGAAGATGACGCCACAACGAAGAATGAAGAATCGGAGAAATCTTCAAAACATCAGAAAGAAGATGAAGGTAAAGATTCTCCAGAAATGTCCAAAGAAAATGGAGATTCCAGTCCAGAAAAGTCGAAAACAAAACGAGACAATTCTTCAAAATCGCCATCGAAAGACAGATCATTGTCGATTGATTTGAATTGTATTCACTGTTTTACCAAATGCTCATCGATACAAGTAAGAGTAGATGATGAAAAGCGGGTGGAAGAAAACATCTTATTGAAACATAAAAAATTTTACAGGATTATCGAAACCATCTTTCACGACGAACTCATTTGATGGCAATGAAAAAACTTGCAACAAGAGTAAAATTGACGTTGAATCGATTCCGGAAATATCAGCGATCGAGACAGTTTTATGTTGAAGCCCGAATGAAGAATGTCGAGAACATCCCATCGAAATATTGTCAGATTTGTAAGCTTTACTATCGACAATCGAAGATTGAACATCGTGACTCGGATGATCACAAGAAGATTAGAAACTTTTTGAGACCATTTTGCAAGGTACATATTGAGAAATGTTACTTAAAACAAAATTTAGAAACAAATGAAACTTACCTAATTGAATATCCATTTAAAATTATCTACTACGAAACTTCGATAGATTTGTCATGTTCAACTTCTGAGTTCGATGAAATATGAGATTCACAGATGCACAGTGGAGCATCTCAAGAGAAAAGCAGAGAAAAATGAGGCGAGTGATGAAGAGATAGACTTCCAAGATTTTGATCCAGAAGATTTCAAGACAGTTGATTCAATTGGTGATGTTGATGGCGAAGAAGGTAGTTTTGTATCATTAAACCATAATTGTTGCTATCATTTCTTTTTTGTGTAGTAGGAAGTACAATAGATGAACAGGAATATGATGCATCGATAGCTGTTGGGCAAGATTTTGTGACGAAAGTTGAAGTTAATTATTGTAAGAATCTTCTTATCATTTATTGTCAAAGAATTGTTTTAATTTATGACTTTTCTAGGCTCATTATGTCGCGAATATTTATCACGAAGCTCGAAAGATGAAAAAGTCATCACTGATCATTGCAAATCAAAGAAACATTTGAAATGGTATTATCAATCGAAGAAAAAGGATGAAAAGGAAAGTGAATCAAAACGAGATTCAGCAGAACCATCGAAAGATGACGAAGGTAAAGATTCACCGCAAAACGGTGATAAGCAACAAGAAATTCATGAAAAAGAAATAAAAAAGGAAAAAGAAAATGCTGAGTCAGTTGAACCTTCGAATGAAGATAAAAACTCTGATGGAAAAGATGAAGAGAAACCTGGACCTTCAAAGAAGTTCAAAAGGTGAGAAAATTTATAACTCGAGTGAAAATAAAGTATCCATTTTTATATTTAATAAAAAGATAATTTCTTTCAGATATTTTGATGTTGAAAACTAAATAAGAGATCTCAGCATACATAATATTCCTGGCACATAAAAGAACATCATAATCATCATCACCACCTTGTTTAAATCATCATTAATTTTCTTTTATTACAAATCTTTACAAAGATTTATGAGAAGCTTTGATGATTATTTAAAGACTCTTTAAAAATGGACACTAAAATGTAGTTAAACTTTTTTCATTAACTTTCTGATTAATTTTTGTTTGTTCCATTTAAAAATAATTTCGAATTAAAGAAAAGATTTCAATCAAAATTTAAGAAATTTTCTTGTTTTTTTCAGTGGATTTGATTTTAAAAATTTTGGTCATTGACCTGATTATTAATCAGACTACCAAGTCAATTCTTTTTCTTCTTGATTGAATCATCTCATCTGTTTTAGACTACCTTGAATCGTTTGATTCTTCTCATGTTGTTTTGAGAGTGCAACATTTTTTTTTCCAGACGAGTCAAAGCCTTTGATTTAAGTTTAGTAAAAATAATCAAAGAAATGAGAAAACCTTTTCATTCAAGGTGTAAGAAGAAGCTTGCGATGTGTAGATATGAGAATTATCAAAAAGCGAAGCGAAGTCCTCAATTACACTCATTGAACATGTTTCTGTCTCTTTCCTTTGCCTCACTTTTTTTTCTCTCACCGACACGTCTTGTTTTGATATTTTTCATGAAATTTTTCAAGAAATCGCTGGCTTTTCTTTATTTAATTTTTATTTACATTAATTGAGTTGTTTTGAAGTGGATTGGTGTTTTTAATATAACTTCGGTGACATCTTCAAATAGAATTTCAATAAATGTAAATATAAGTTCATTGCACACGAGAAAGTTCATTTTTTTAACCACGACAAAGTTTAATGAAAATATAAATTAATATTCATTAACAATTTTGGCATGAACCGGATTATGACATTAGTGAAATAAAGTCATAAGATTTCAATAGTACTGTAAATATTAAAGTGCAACATGTTTTATATCGAAATCATTTGAAAAAGAAATTTAAAATTGGATGGTGTCGGATGTTACATAATTTTGATCGTATAAAAATGAATGTGCGGGTTGAGAAGTTAAAAGAATATTTTCACGCGGTTACTGTGCAGCATAAAACCTTTTTAGCAATTTAAGGATATGTATCGACGTGAGCTCCCATGAAAACTTCTCTCATAAATCTCAATTAAACTGATTCAGCTGCACAACATAAAGTGGGGTTATATGAAAATGTGAGAACATCAGAATTGTAATTTTTCATTCATAAAAAGATAAAATCAACTTTTGGGGGAGAATTTTATTTCAGTAGCAAAGAAGAAGTTCGTTCAAGTCAGAGTAATAAATTTCTCATCTTTTTGAAATTATACTTAAAAAGAAGTAAATAATAAGAATTTCCAATATTAAGATATAGAAAGATGTTTGACAAACAAAGAAATATTGAGACAAGACTGTGTGTAAATACAGCGAGAAGAATTAGGCAACAGCAAAAAACGATTGCCATGAAATGCTTAAACAGCTCTTTTCTCCCACATTTCCTAAAGACATTTATTTCATTCAACAATGCTCAATGAGTTTTGTGATGTTATTTTTACGGGAAGTACAGTGAAAAACTTTACGTCCTCCCTGAACAAATAAAAACTGTTTAGCGGTGCAAATACTCGTCCACTTCTTTTTGCTTTCGCTTTTTTTTGTTTCCAGTAATCTGCCCTGCCCTCCCTTCTGAAAATTGATATTGTGGATGGTTTCGGAATGATAACAATGTTGAGATAGCATTAGAAGAAAAGCGAAGAGATTTTTGTATAAAAACTAAACTTTGTAGAATAAAGTACAAGGAGAAAGTTTAGCAGAGACTAAATAGCAGTTAAACTACCTAGAAAGTTGCGATGTTCTCAAAGAAATCATTAAAGAATTCCCAGGATTTATAAATTCAAGTATATAGACTGACTAAGCTTTTTGATAAAATTTATTGAGTTGCTTATTTCAAGTTGTGCACGTATAAAAATCGTGCTTTGAATTGACCATTTTAGAAGCACAAGAGAAGTGATAACTTTTATTTTAGAAAGCATAATCTAGTCAACAAGCTTTTAACGCAGTCCCTATTGACAACTTAAAATGTTTAAACATTAGTTTTTGTAGTTTATTTACAACACTAAAAAGAAACATTGATTGTATCCTTAGATGAATTAAGGAGCACGTTGTTTAACCACAACTGATGCTAAGCACGTTTCATTGCATTCTAAACAAAAAAAAAGTTGTAAGCGTTGAAAGAAATTTCTTTAACCCTCTTCGAAACGTCATTTCGCTTTTCAATGTTTCACTAAAATATTTACGTATGTGCTTCTTGCTACTCACACGATCACTTTTATTTATAATCGCAATCTGATTAATACATGCGAAAAGTTAGCTCTCGGAACAATAAAACACATTTGAGAGGCGACTTCGGACAAGAAATAAAATAGGAAAACAAACAAAAAGTGTTTTTACTCTCCGATTGATTACAGAACAAAGAAGTCGTACTTAATAAAATAATTAAATTGTTCGCGGCTTGAATGAAATAATTTTCTTTCATGTCTTCTACATTTGAAGTGACAAAAGTAAAGTGAACTTCATTACTTCACTCAAAATCATTTTTAAAGTTTAAAGACATTAATGAGAACAAGACATTGAAAGTTCTTCTTCATTAACTTCGATTTTCTGATTGATTTGTGAAACAAAAGGAAAAAGAAAAGAAATTAATATTAAATAATAGTCGGTTTTGTGAACTGAATAACTGAACTGTCTGCCTACATTAAAGACAAAGAGACATGTTGGGTTTAGTGGAACTTTTTATATTTATGTGCATTTTCGGATACATCATCCGCAAGAATGGGTGAGTAATGAAATGAGAACACCTTTACTCGTCATTATAATGAAGAACGAGGACGAAAGTTGAATGTTTTCAAATCAGTTCATGACGATTGTTGTTATTTTTCAAAAATCTAATTTTCAGGATCATAAAGTTGAATGAAAATGTCGTGAATTGGAACTAATGAAAATCGACTCTAAGAATAATAAATCTAGCGCGTGCTTTTTCTTTCCTTTTTGCTTAGATATAATTACTTATGTATGCAATCATTAAATCAAGTATTAGTTTTGAATTCTCAAGTTACGATCAAAGTTATTCAGTTTGTTTCCGTGCATAGATTTTACCTTCTTATCTTCACGATATCCTTGATTATTCTACGACTAAAAGTTTAAAAAAATTTACTCAATTCATCATCATATAATTCCATTAATTTCCATCAAGTTCATTTGAGTTCGACGAATGGTTTAATAAAGAATATTTTTTAATTTGCATAAGTTACCCTTGAAATTGTCTATCAACAAACAACAAAAACAGAATTTTATTTTCGCACGAATTACACAGAAAAATGAAGAAGAAAGAAAATCAATCAAGTTCATCAGTGTTAACAAAATAATCTTTCAACTACCTACTTTAAATAACTATTTCATTGAATCAGAAGATTCTGTTTAGTTGAATTGATAAGAAAGGTCAGAAAAATCTTCACATTATTAAGAAATACTTGTCAGCTGATTATTAGAGAAAGAATCGGTTTGAGTACGTTTGATTCGTTCTTATAAATAAAAAAGTTCTCAACAGACAATCACGCGATTCTCATGAAATTTTCGACCTTGCCAAAAAAGGTGAAGAAGAAGATTCCATTTACGTGTTAAGACATGAGCTTATCAACGCTTATTAGAAGCGTGCCATTAATATTTCACGAAAAAGAGCTTAATGAAGAAACTTTGTTGTGTACAAAACAAAGTTAAATACGTAACAGATTTGAACTGATATCAGAATGACATCTGATTTCTTTCCACATCTGTTTGCTTTGGTTGGAAACAAAAAATGAAAAATAAACTAAAAATAAGTTCATTGTTAATCAATTCTTATCGCAATTTGAAATTGTTTAATTTAAGTTTATCATAAAGAAAGGATTAAGTTAATTAACGGTCATATCTTAATCTTTTAAATTCTCTATCGATTTTATCATTCGGACTCGATTTATCAGGAGAAAAGGCAAAGGTTGTTTATTGATCTTTTGCAAAATCGTGCATTTTCATGTTATGATCAAAGTCCTATTTAACTTTCGTTTCATATTAATCGATCAAAGATATTGCAGTTATGGATAAGAAAGTAAATCGTTTTGTCGCATGACAAGCGACAGTTTCACGTTTGGTCAACCAAGGCTTAATGTTAATAAGTATTCAATGTGGAATAAAATACTATCAAACCATTGAATCGTTTTCAAACAAGCATGGAATAATCGAAGTTCAGAAATCAGTTTTTATGCTTAGTCCTTACTTTTTTTATTTATCAACCATCGACTTCTACTATACTTAACATTTCTACTGTAAAAACGTTTGAGTCATGGAAGTTTCACGACAATTCTCAATCTAAATCAGAAGTTAGAAAGGTGGAATCAAACAAATTGCTTTCCATGTGCATGTCGAATTTTCAGAACAAGCTAAACACTTTCAAATTATAGAGACAGAATGAAAAAATGTTATCTTCATCATCATGTTTAAAAATCTACTTTTACTTCTCTTATTCATTCCACCGTGAAAAAATAACAGAGAGAGAAAAAAAACTTGCCTAAAAATATGTTTTTGTTGACATGCTCTTCACCCACTTGTTTTCCGAGTTGATTGAAATGGGTTGGAGAAAAATAATGAAAAACAAAAAACAAAAAAAAGCAGGAAAATTATTTGAACATCGAGGTTCATAAACAACTAAGCCGCCAGGCTGCTAATAATTTTTTACCAAGTATTGCTTACAGTGCGAAATACGCGTAAACATGATGTTTACGATAGTTGTTCATAATTCACGACAAAAACTTCTCCCTTATCTTATGTTAGGGCGGGAAAAAAAGCTTCGCCCCATCAGCGAATAATCTACAAACTGCGATGCTTCAGAAATTCTAATAAAAAATGTGATTTAGATTTTCTGTAGTTATTGAACTCACTTTCAGAAGTGCTATCGCTTTATCTGACATCGTCAAGTCAATGAATTATCACATTATTGCGTTTATACACTCAAAAGGTATTAGTTTTATGAAGTGGACTGAATATTTATGACTCAGATTGAACAAGAAAAATCTAACAATGATTCTTATTAAATTAGATTATTTATGTTTGTAACAAAGAAGAACAAAAGTCATCATCATCGTCGTCAGAAATCATACGCAGATGCATCTTTCATATGTCAAACAAAGGAAATCTAATTTCTTTTTTATCATAATATTCCTTCCAGCACAAGTACAATGATTGACATCATCACAACTCGTTTTCATGATGCATATTCAAGAATCATCCCACAAGATTTTAAACGACAACAAAATGGCAGAATTATCCGTGAACAAAATATTGACTTACTCAAAAGGCCAAGTGACGAACAACATAAAAGATTTCCAACAAATGAGGTGAAAAGTTCTCCAGTGAGTAATTTTTCATCCTTTCCATCATTTCCCTTAGCGCAATTCGAACAAACAACGTCATTTTTCAATTCTAATCTCTGCAATTGTTCGATAACTTTACCTACAAAAGACTTTCTTGTTTACAATCATAAACGTTATCGTCTTGAGATTACAATTGAAATATATTTCAAGACTTGTCAATAAATGTTTAAACAACAAAGTAACTTTTTTTATAAAATGGAATCTTTCCATTGACAACATATGACGATGCTTTCCTTAACTTTTCATGAACTTGTTAGAGAAGTTAATTAATGAGAAACTTTTTTTTCTACCTACTTAGATTTGCAATGGAGATCAGCAGAGCATATCGGAACGAAGAACATCTCTCCTTCCATCACATGGATTAATTTGTCAAGATTGTTCGAGAAACTTAGATTGTGTAAGTGAAAGAAATCGCGAGCGATGTTTTAAAAGCTTTCTAATCATGAATGATAAGCTACTTGGTATATATCACATTCCTTCCTTTATTTAAGTAGCCCTTCAACGTTTACCCACGCGATCATTTTACTGCTATAAAGTTATCAATGTCGATGAAATATGAATACATTTCCCGTCACGCAAAAGCAATTTTATGATTTTTAGCAAAACTTTTCATATTTTTGAGGTCGTAATTGATTGTGAAGAAGAAATGGAATTTTTCAACGAATTTCCTTTAATTTTCCATAAGCAAATAAAAAATGCGTCATTATGGATAATCTCGAATTTATATCCGCACTTATAAAAAGCATTGCTGTTCTCCTTTTTTTTCTTAATTTTCTGGCTAGGAAATTGTTTTTGTAAAATGACTTGAATTTGGAGAACAAAAAAAAACTTTTCTTCTATTATTATTGTCATTTTTTTTTTTTGGGGAAAATCGATAACATTCAATTACCCTGAATTACATCTTACATCTTAAAGTTAGTCTTAAAGTCTTTTGCCGGGAGCGTCAATCTCTTTCCGTTTCCCTTCCCCCTTTCTCTTCTCGTTTTCGCGCATCAAACATTTCCCGAGCTTATCTTTCCTTGACAAATTCCATAAACGACTTTTCGCAGAAAATGCCGTTTCATGTTGACAATTTGGCGTCGTCGTTTACATAGGCAAGAAATAGAAAAGCAAGCGCCGATATCTTTTCACTAACTAAAGTATATCGTTCGACGCAATTCTCAAACGAGATAATTTTGATTGCGCTAATTTCTTATTAAGCACAAAATATACAAAATTCCAACTCAACGTAGGCAGTTATTCTTTTCTCAAATGAAAAATAATAAAAGAACTTTACTTTATTTTACTTTCTCGCTACTAAATTTTGATTAAATTTTTGCGCCCCATTACATCATTTTATTGACGGTAATATTGTGTGTGAACGAACGAATGAATATACGAATGAACACAGGTGACTGCTTACGAAATATTTTCCCACCCTTTTGTTTTAATCAAGTTTTTCTTTCTGATGTTTCTTCTTCTTTTCTGCCTACTACTTCACGTCAAATAGAAGAACCTTGTTGTATGAGCCTATATGTGCTTTCCAAATTGCTTTTTGTTCAAGAATAAAACTCTGTAACTTCCTCATTATTCGTTATCATATAAAAAGTGAATTTGAAGATGAACGTAGTGAGTGAATGAATGAGAAGGGAAAAGAAGTTTTCATTTAATTTCGGTTAATTACAGAAACCAGAAGAGAATATCGTTCGTCGAGCACTTGAAGCTGTCGATATTCTTAAAGTAACACAACATGCTTCAACAGAAAGCAAATATGATTGGGGCACCTACTGCCCACATTTGGCACAAAACCTCAGGCTTAAGAAATATGAATATAAGCCCATCTTTGATAAAGTCATTAAACATAAACATGTCAGAGAGGAGATTGAGAGGATAGCAAAGAATGCGACTAAGGAAAGTAATGTAAACTTTGAAGATGAAGATGCATATTACTCCGAGCTTTTGAAAACATACACAAAAAAAGCCCACCAATCGCTGATGCAAATGCGATGTACATTATCAGATAAACTCTTAAGACTGACTTCCTATGTGCTTTACAAACTTCTTCCACTCTTCCTTGACGGTGTGGTCAATGACCCAGCTCAAATAGAGATGATTAAAGAAGCACAAAAGAAAATGCCGAAAACACCGCTTGTCTTTCTTCCCCTTCACCGAAGTCACTTGGATTACATTTTAATTACGTTCATTTTGTTGAACAACGATATTCAGTGCCCTCAAGTTGCCGCTGGTGACAACTTAAACATTCCGGTTTTCGGGTAAGTTAAAAGCTTGAATCGTGAAAAGCGGAAAACGACAAAAAAAAATTCTTTTGTGCAATCAACTTAAGTAAGTTTACCACATTTTCAGTTATCTTCTACGTGGTCTTGGTGCATTCTATATCAAACGAAAAATTGATTTGCCCGATGGAAAGAAAGATTATATTTATAGAAGTCTGTTGCAAGCTTACCTTCAGGAGAGTATCATTGCGGGACATAATGTTGAATTTTTTATCGAAGGCGGACGTACGAGAACAGGAAAACCAAATTTGCCTAAGGTACATTGGATTTTATTAATTTCATTTATTTTATTCAGGAATGTGATTTGATCAATTTGAACGTAAAGTACCTAAAGCTGGTGAATTTTAAAGCAGACATGATCGGAGTGAAGCAGTTTAATAATATTTTTAGGAAATTATGAAATATTTAGTAAATCAAATCAAACAATCATTCCTGATTAAATTCCTTCTGGCCTGGGATATATTTTAATCTCCTTTCACTATTTATTTAATCATCAATAGAGTGGAATTCTATCAGTCATTATTGAAGCGTTCATCGATGGGTTAATTGATGATGCAATATTAGTTCCGGTCTCAGTGAACTACGAAAAGCTTGTCGATGGACATTTTGTAAATGAACAAATGGGAACTCCAAAGAAAATGGAATCATTTCGAACTGCTGTTTCATCGATTTGGAAGATTCTCAATGACAAATACGGTTTGATGAGAATCGATTTCAATGAACCATTCTCATTGAAAGAACTCGTCAAGTCGTTTAAAAAACGACAGGAAGAAGAAGTTCCAAGACCGCTTCCTTCAGCTCGAACATTATTAACGGGCCCGTCAGTGTCATCAATAAATGGAATTGAAGTTGTCGATAAACATCGTGTTCTTGTCGACAATATCGCGCGTCATGTCGTCTTCGACAGTTCAAGCACAACTTGTGTCATGTCAACCAACATTGTTGCCTTTTTACTTCTGAATAAATTTAGAAATGGTTGCACAATGAGAGAACTTTCTTATGCTTTAGACGAGCTTAAACAACAGATTGGCAACGACAGGGATTTTGAGTTTAGAGGTGACACGGAATGTGTAATAGAGAGAGCTGTAATGCTTCTCGGTTCTAGTCTCATACAACGAAAGGTGCAATCAAACGGTGAAGTTTTTATCGCACCAGTTCTCAATGTTCCCAACGTCATCGAGACAGCATATTATTCAAACACATTTGTTCCATATTTTGCATTAGACGCAGTTGTTACCACAACCGTAGCTACCGTCAATGAAAAAACTCAAATGGGTTTAAATGATGTCATTGACATTGCCTCGCTTCTTTGTGATATTTTACGTTACGAGTTTATTTTCTACAAGCCATGTCAAGACTTTTCCGATGAGGTTAAAAAATCGGTGGTGCGTTTGTGTAATTTAGGGATTTTGTCAAATGTAAACAACAGCGTGACAATGAACTTCAAACCATCACAGACATTACTTTCAACACTCGCTCCATTTACTATATCGTATTCATTGGTGGCGGAATGTCTCGTAATTCTTCTTCACGAGTCAATTGTGTCAGAACGTGATTTCATCAAAATTTGTCTCAGTCATATCCACAGGAAAGTTGATAAAGGCGATACAACATATGGTGAGAGTTTATCCACAGATTCAATCAAGAACTGCTTAAAGGTCCTTGAACGGTGGGCTGTGCTTGACACGGAATTACAAAAGGGATCAAAAATGTTATCATTGAATCCTCTATACAACTCAACAACCCAAGTTCAAAGTGTTATTGATAAATTTGAAAAATTTGTGATTTTGAAGTGAAATTAGTTTATAAACCATATCATCATAAATCATATTACACACATGCGTTGTGATGAAATAAAAATGTTATCCTAGAGACTTGTACATTAATCTTTTGGCATCGACATGCATGCATAAATTATGTACCTACACAAAAAAAATTAAATTTGTTGATGTTACTTGAATAGAAAAATTTTAAATAAAACATAGAAATGAAACCTTAAAATATAATCCGCTTTTCAATTTTCTTCACAGATCTCTAGTGATTATAGAACTTTAATCAAACATGCAAATAAGGATATTTAAACAACAACATAAACATTTGTTGTGACATTCCATCCGCGTTTAAATTTATTTTTCATACATACATACATCCATTTTCATCGTCATCTTTTAGCATTAGTTTGTTAAATTCAACCTGATATCATCGTCATGATAGATATCAGGAGGATGCAAAACGGGCGGCAGTGACTAGTCAGCACAACCCAATTTCCGTTGAAATTGGAAAGTGTTGTCATTGTCATTTGCCACAAATGTCCATTGCCTCCCGACTGTTTTAACAGGCGGGTGTGGGTCTTTTCAGACCCTGTCTTAGACCTGATGATGATGATGATGATACATCCATTTAGTAAATTTCCCTTGAAATGTTAAGAGATTCGACAGCTTACAAAACTACCACCAAACATTCACCCATCCATCCCACTCTCTGACTTTCGAATTGATGAATTAATCCTTTGTAAAGCCTTCACATTCGCTATACATTCTGAGCTTCATTTTCGTCAAAAAGAAAAATAAAATAAAAATAAACTCAGTTCCGATGTTGAAGGCGAATAAAAATCCCACAATGTAAAACCCTAAAAGTTGTTTTCTAACGGTTTTCATTTCCAGCATATATTTCACATGCAAGTATGAGCTTTAGATAAGAACTTCGTCAAAAATCTACTTACTTTGGAAGTGGAAAGGGAATCGTTGGGATGGTGGCGGGAAAATCTCAAGCGCGCGAATAATAGTCTTTTTTGCCTTGAGTTGAGTGGATTTATATGATTACATAATGTTTAGCTGGTTATGGTTTATAAAAATGAAAACTTTGGAACTTTCATTTTTGGGGATGTAAAATATATTTTTGCGTTTGGGGGGAAAAATTTGTTGAAACGCGTTAAAAGTGTTTTATTACGAAAACATTTCTTTACGACATCATATAAAGAAAGTCGAACAATGCTACATAGCTCTAAATAATTAATAAACTCTCTTTAGCTAAAACGTTCTCAGTCTGACGGAATTTTCGTTAGTGAAATTTTCTATTCTACCAGGTTTGACGAAGTTTGTATTGCGACGTTGCCAAATTTGACACACACTGTGGTTCATTATGCTAAAAATTATTCTCTCGCTCTCGCTGTTCTCTCATTGCTCTTATTATTGTTGTTATCCTCCACATGAGAGAGAAAATATTATTTTTTTGGAAGAAAACATTCAGTTTTGGTTCAGAGAAGACAGACGGAAGACGCTTCATAACATCGCGCGGTTTCAAAATAAGAAAAAAAAAGAAAAAATAATCATAAATTGACTGATTTACAATCAGAAGTGAATTTCAAGATCAATCGATTCTAGTCAAACATAAAAATCCTATCATAAACTTCTCGGTAACACAAAAAAATAGTTGAAAGTAAAAGTTCTTTAATGCTAAAACATAAAAAGAATAGCAGAGAGAAAAGAAGAATAACTACATAAAATGGAATATCAAATATTAAGGAATAAAGGTTGTACAAAAGCCTCAAAAATGTTTCATGTGACTCAAAAAATGTTCGCTTTCTGATTAACTATATGACTGAATAAGTAATTTTCCCAATTTGAATATGGATTAACCCAAATAAGCCAAAATAAAAATATCAACTCAAAAAAAAAATAAAAGCGAAGCAACACAAAATCCGAAACAAATAAAAGTGTAAAAGGATTGGGGAAGAGAAGAGAAGAGAAGAAAAGAACACATAGCAGCATTGAAAAATATTTATGCGCTTAAAAAATAAAAATGGGACTGTATTCACCTTTGTATGTGTTCGTCGAGTGAATGTTTTAATTGTACAAACTTCACTGCTTCGACTGCAAAGATAGAAAATTTCTTTTTGTGTCGCATGCAACTTTTCAAGTGTTTCTCGTCTCGATGAGGTTTTATCAAAAGAAAGAAAGAAAAAGTGAAAAACGAGACAAAATTTCACAATGCATAGAATGTGAAGAGAGTTTGGGAAGCGGTTAATGAAATAGCGTAAAAATAATTAGCGGTGCTCTTAATTCATTCAATAAAATATCATTTCACGAGATCGCATTCGCATGACAAATGTCAAGTGTCGTCATTTTTCTTAAGCTTCAATTACAAACACGTTGATTTCGAGGACTTTTGTGTCGTGTCGAGAACTGCGAACATTTTCACTGATAAGCTTTTTATGCCAACTTTGAGTTTTGCTCTAGGATCGTTATGGGTCTTTTAAAAAGCTTGATAAGAAGAGATATTGCATGGCAAGTTTACAATTCGTGTCGTTTTCAGTTGAGAAGTATAACGAACAGAATAAATACATAAATAATTACTTAAATAAATAAAAACATTGAAAGTTATCGAATGTTGGTGAAAGTGATTTAAAAATAATTAAAATTTAAAACACAAAGTTTAGTTGTTCGTGGAAATAAAAAGAGTTCCGAAAAGCAATCAAATTAGAGTTTAAATGGCTGTAACAAATATCGTATGTGAGTGGCTTAAAGCACTCGGTTTGTCACAATACGCCGCGAGCTTTCTTGATAATGGTTATGATGACTTGGAAATCTGCAAACAAATTGGCGACCCAGATTTGGACGCAATCGGTGTTCAAAACCCAAATCATCGACACAAACTTCTTAAAAGCGTCAGATTGTTGCGTGAGAATGGTGCGGCAAGTGTTTACTTCCAAATCAACGATCCTAACTCTTTATTTAATTGTGATGAACTGGAGCGAGACAATTCGCCTCTTCTTGGGTTGGAATCTCTTGTTATAGAGCAATTAGAAGCCGATGGCGTTTGTTTAAGTAGTTATCCTTACTCAACACCCGTAAGTAACATCGGAACATGTTGCTTTGATTAGAATATATAAAGAGATTGTTTACAGGATGGTAGTCGAGGTCATTTAGAAGGTTTAGCTTCTGTTTATTGTGAATTATTAATGGCACCTTACCTTGATGTTCTCACCGCCCTAGAGGATGTCAGACAAAGAGCATGGTTGAAAAGAAGTCCAAAACATAGTCCTGGCATGTCAAAGGGACATAGAGGAAGTTCCAACCAAATCGGAACCCTGCCCAATAGTCACAGTCAACCTTTATATGTCCCGGGAAAATACTCGGTAAATAAAAAAAATCCATTAATGATGTTAGAATGGATTGGAGAATCATTTTAAAACATTTATATTGCTTTTGTGTGATACAGTAGAGTGTCGATAACTGGACTTTTAACAATGAAAAACTTTTAACTTTCTTAAATTCAATTGAACAGAAATTTTCCAATGCAAAAGTTTCACAATTTTAATTATTTCTAAAGAGTTTTCTTTCATATAAAATTTTACTTTTGAAATATTCTTGAAGAATGAATATTTGCGAACAAAATTTATATTTATCGATTTGAAAACTTACAAAAATCCAATCCGTACCAACATCCATAAAACAAAAGAAAAAGAAGAAGAAAAAATCCTCCCTCGCACGTCTCAATTGCAATTTTCGTGTTTTATTCTTTTTCATTCGTTTCTCTTGTCTTTCTAACACGAATTCAAGAAGAAGAACAAATAATAAAATAAAATAAAATAGTGAAATAAATTCATTCCTTTTAGCCATCGAGTTGTCTCTCCGACAAGGAGGAAGATGAAATTTATGGTTTCGGCTACGGCGTGTTCGCTTCGAGAATTGGTCGTGGCGGAATCCAATCGACTCAGCAATTAGACAAAATGGACAGCCAACAATCATTACCAAATAATACCAATAATGTACCTGTGGCACAACAACAAGGGTAAGAACTAAAAAACTTTCATTTTATCTTTATCCTCTTGGTTTTAGTGGTGCGAGAAGAAGAAACTAACGCTAACGCTAATGCTCTGAACTTTATGGTGGATTGTGCTCGTAAAAATTCGCGTTAAGCTGACAAGCATATAAAATAATGGATCTGTTGGCCATTCCACAACCAACGTAAAGTGAAAGTTCGGAGCTGCTCTTGTGGCTGCAAAGAAAAGCAAATTTTACTTGTTTATGATGAGAATGTGCAAGGGATGAAGTAAATTACTTGAAAGCTTGCTTCTACTTCATCCCACCGATGTTATTTCACATGCGATGCTTTTAACTTATCTCTCTGCGCTTTCCATGCCCTCATCGAATTGTTTATGTTGCCTTTTTAGACGTTACCAGTTGCTTTTTATTGCACACACTCTCTTTCCCCCTCCCAAACTGTCTTCATCCCCATTTTTGGGTCAATTATCGAAGATGTTTATCACAATCGTCTTGATTTTATTACAAATTCTTCTTATCATTCGTTCGTTCGTTCGTTTGTTTGTTTGTTTGTTTATTGACAAAAGACAAGATGGAAAAGTTTAAGCGACATGAGAATTTGGCTTTAGCAATCAACATCATGCAAAATACGAATGAAAAGTTTTTCTTTTCTGGTTGTTTTTGAAGTTAAAGAGAATGAGATGAGAAGAAATCATTTAGATCTTCATCCGATAAGTCGACAGACATTCTATGACACTTGTTTTAATTGTGTCAATATTTGAGCAATGAATTAAAGCTTCTGTGAAGCTTTGATTATTCAAACATTTGAAGAGTTTTCCTTTTCTACATAATGCATGACTTTTTTATGTGTTGCAGGCCATCCGGTCCCCGACCAGCGTATTTCTTTGAACTCTCACACGAGGCTCGGGAAACGAATAAAAAGCGATCGACTTTAATGAGATTGCTGAGAGGCTTAAAGACTGTAAATAGGAAAGCAAACCAAAATCCATCAATCACACAGCATAAGGTAAAAACATGATGAATATTTAATGTCCTAATGAATTTCGGGTGAAGAGGATAATCTGATAAAAGTTTCATTCGCAGCAATCAAATGAAAGACTGAGACAATACCAATTGAATGGCGGTGCACCACATCAAAGCTTTGAAGAGACAATCCATCGAGTAAGAAAGAATGTTCATGCCTTTTCTTTAAGTGTTGACTCTTCTCTTATTATGTGACGAATTTTCTTTTATCTTCTCTCCATTTTTCTCTCATTTATTTCAGCTGAAAGTTCAAGAAGCTTTGAGGAAAAAAGAAAAATTTCAAAGGGAGCATGAAGAGGTAAAAAGCCTTTCGAGTTTCTTTTTTTTCGTGAATTGTCGTCCTAGCAAATAATTAAACACAAGAGAGGATAACGACATGACGCTGTGTATAAAGCAGGGATTGGCAATTCATTTTTTCTTGTAATGAAATTTGGAACCTATTCCAATCCCTGAATGGAATTGAGTTAAATTTTCTGTTTTTCCTAGAAATATGAAAATGAATTTTGTTCCTTTCCCTGTCATAAAAAGCTTATAAACATACAATTACAATGACCTTCACTTTGTCTTTCTTTTATTAGATTTTACGAGACATTCAGCAAGGATTGTTCCAACAAGCAGCAAGAGCAGGTCAGACAGAAGAATTTTCATTTGTAATTCATGAATAATTGACATCAAGAGCACTTTGAGTTTATACATTTTTATGCAATTTTTCTCATTTAATTCTGTTCATTCTCAGGAGAAACGTCGCTATACGATGGCTCCATATCAAGTAGCAACTATAGCAATATAAACAGACATCATCATTGGTACGATGAACCACCTTATGAGAGTGAACCGGATGACTTGATAATGTCTGAGATGTTAGCAGCAGCAACAATTCAGGTAAACACTCTTCATAATAAGAACAATGGCTTCGTTTTGAATCTTTCACAACGACGACTATTTCTTTAAATGAATGAAGAAAGTGAAAATAAAAGGAAAGCAAAAAGCGATTTCTCTTATCATTTCATGTACGTGAAGCATGCTTGAGGGAGAGAAATGATATTCAAGCTAACATAAATCTTTTAAAAAAAGCTTGTTACGTCTTGATAAGAGCTTTTTATTGTGTTGGTTACAGAAATTTTCTTCTCAACACCAAAAAAAACTTTCTTGCTTTCATTCGTTCTCTCTCCATTAAATTACCAGCTTAATAATTCACTTCTCAACACATATCATAAAACTGATGCTTCGTATCAAAGTTTCTCCTTAACTTTTCTTTTTCATTTTTCCCTTTTCTTCTCCACTCTCATACTTATGTATTAACTTTTTTTTACACTCTCTTTTATTTCATTCTTTTCATTTTATTTATGGAAGGACGGACAAGTTTGCTATCGAACGAATGGGCCGGGAATAATTTCTTTACGTTCCGCCGGTGATATATCTGTTTCTTCGCAACAACAACAGCCAGTAAAACGAGGACTTTTTGTGCCACAACAGTTGAGCAATTCACCATTGAAAAGGTAAGAAGAAGGAAATAATTTAATTTGTGTCAACTGAGTTGATTGTGTTCGGCAACAGGATGAATACGAAACGAATCTGTGCGAGATGTCTCGACATGAGAGCTTGGATCAAAAGCTCAAGCACGCTTCACTTATTCCCAACGTTACATTCATTTACTCAATTTTTCTTTTCTTTTCTTTTCTTCTCTTGCGCACTTTTTTGCAGAATAAGCGAAGATTATCGAGGCTCCGTATCAGACATTGATAGCATAACATCGCGAAGAAGCCAAATATCTGTGAGTTGAATGATCATAACAATCTTAAGACTTTTCCTTAATCATTCTCATATCATCCAATCTTAATCTTAATTATACTTATATCATCAAGATTGAAGCAAATTGCGTAGCATATTATCGACCTTTGATAGGACGAACAATCGAACCACCATCGCCTTCCCATCTATCAGATTCAGAAGACAATGACGATTATCTCGCCTCAAACATGGTGATATTAAATGGAATGAACAATCTTTCTAGCGGCCTATCGAATCCAACATCAAGCACAAATGATTTGAAATTAAAACGAAATTATCCTTCGTCAATGGGCAAAGTATCAGTCACCGGTTACCAGAATAAAACTTTTGATTACGTAAGGAAGTTGTTTGTTCAATTTTTAATCGATTATTGTTCGCATCATATCACGGTATAAAGTTTTTATTTTGTTTTTTTCGTGACAACATGAAAAGCGAAAGAAGATATCTAACCATTCGATATGCAGTGATTCTCAACCTTTTTTTAAATTTATTTTCTTTTTTAATTGATTCCGTTTTTCACAAAAACACAAAGAAAAGTTTACATGAAAATTTATTGAATAATTTTCCAAAATCATTAGCTTCTCGTCACGCAGTTCAGGAAGCACTGTTCGAATACTTAAAGGGACATAGAACTGTAAAAGCGAACAAATATTAATGACAGTTTAGGGGTATGAAAAGTTGTTTCTATTCAGATATTTGGAATTTTCATAAAATTCTTTTAATGCTTAAAGCACAACTGGGACTTTTATTTTTACATCTTTTCGTGAGTAGTAAAAATGTGTAAGAATTCAGGGTCGTTCGTTCGTTCGTTGATTGAAGTAACATTTTACTTGAAAGCATTCCTTGAACTTGTTGTGTTGATGTTGTTACAATATTTCCCTTTCTACTTTTAACATCATTAAAGTAAAGTTGGAAAGTTTATCTTCTTTTGCCATTTTCATCGTCGTTGGTGTTTTCTGATATCTTTTAAACTCAGCGACAAAGCTTTAAAACGTTTCCTTCGAGACTTAACGTATTCGCAAAAGCGTAATCTCTTCTAATTATTGCCGGGCAGATGCCATGTTACTGATAAGTAATAAGATGCCTTTTCATGTTGACACGAGAAAAGAAAAATGAAAAAAACGAGCGAATGAGAAGAAAAATGAAACAAAGCAAAATTTTCTACTCAATAAATTAACAGAAAACATTTTTTTGCTTTTAATGAAAATTCAGCAGTTGAACGATGCAAAGCAATTTCCAAAGGATTCACTCAAAGACTATGGAATTAGTTTTATGAACGATAAAAGCAATGGAAGTCGAAGTAGCAGCACTACTGCGGCATCACTGGCACAAGCCAAGGATTATCATTGTTCTGGCAGTTCAGTTGAGAGATTATCAAGCGCAAGTGGGTCGAGTAAGTGATTTAGGAAATGTTTGGCTCCTTTTTTATTTAAATAAATTTACGACACGACAATGAAAGTTTAAACAAATTATCTCTCCACAGGCACACAGCCATTAGTAAGATCAGGAAGTCCCAACAGCTCACTGTCAGCTGACGAAAAAGCAAGCTATGTGTCAATCTGTCGTGCGAGAGCTGTTGTAGATAGTTCGGGTTTTCCCTTTGAGAAAGACTCATTAGAATTTAAGGTGAGAAAGCGTCATAAAAAATGTAAATTATATTCTCATGAGAAGCATACACAAGAAGCTTTTGCGCATGGTTTTCAAGCAGTTCTGCTGTGGAAGCTCCTAAAATACTTAGATAATATCATGAACATTTAATGACAAGCAAACTGTAAAAGTTTTTCCGTTTTTTTTAATACTTTTTATTCGCTGTACATGTGTGATTGTGACATAATTATGTTCAGCTTGGAATAATGTTAACTACGCTGCTTTGAAAATATGCTTTTATGAAAATATGAAACGACAAAAACAATCCACATTTTTAATGATGAAAACTCTTTTTTGGGCTTTTATTTTTCACATGCTTTTCATTTGAAATAGAAAGGCGATATAATTGACGTGATTACAATGAATGCTTCGGGTGTTTGGGAAGGAAGAGTGAATGGAAAATTTGGACACTTTAGATTTACAAACGTGGAAGTTCTTCCCGAACAAAAGGAGAAAAGTTTTAAAAGGCAAACTCGTATGGTTAGAAAAGGTTGTCGTCCCTCAACGGTAGAAGAGCTTCTTTGTCGAATAGGATTGAAGGAGTACACTGCAGCTTTCACAGCATATGGGTGAGTTTTGTTTACGCTTATGAATAATTTGTGACGTGATTTATAAACTTTTTTTTTGGGTTTTCAATCCAACAACCCAAGTATTTAAAAAATTTGAGTTTCCGAAAGATTAAACTTAAAAATCGTTTAACTTCACTACAAACCATCAGCAAACAAAGTTTATTGAACTTTTTTTTTCGTTTCTTCTCAACAGGTATGAAGATTTAGAATTATTTAAGAAACTCGATTCGGCAGATCTCGATTTTCTGGAAATCACAAATGCGGAACATCGAGCGAAGCTTTTAGCTGCTGTTCAATTGTTGAATTCAACCGACATAACAATGTCAACAAATTCTGATTATATTGCTGGTTCGAGTTCAGAGAATGATGAAAGTCGATTGAGTCAAATACAACAAAAGAAGAATTCACAATCTCCATTCAGCAATCGTCGACGATTTCCACGCGATTCAGGATGCTTTGAAGGAGCTTCACTGCCAAATTTTTTCACCTCTTCCTCCATGCAAAGCACTTCAGAGTCTAACGGAATGAATGATATTCAAGTAGTTCAATGTTCGAATGGAACGACGAGTGAGAGAAATAATACGAGCGAGAACAGCACTCGTCTACCTTCTATAACAGCAACGAAAAAAGGTTTTATCAAGAAAGGTCTGCTGGGTGGAACAAGCAACATCGATGAAATATATTCGTGTACGGAAGGTGGCGGTACATTAAGTGAAAAATCAAGTGATTCTGGCGTCAGCAGCAGTTCTCCTATAAAAAATATATAGAATTCAATTACAGCGAAGTGGAAAGCTATGCAACATTTTCGCTTCGAATTGAGTTGAATTAAGTATGAAACAGCAAAAGTATCAGAAAGTTAGTTTCATAGAACTTTATCAAGAGAAAACTGTTTATTTTCACTCATAGTTTTCTCTCAGTATATCTTAATATATAAAAACAAAAGAACGAAGAAGAATTTCAATGTGTTGAGACGAAAAAAAAGAAGGAAGGAAGAAAAAGTCCCTTTTGATATTAAATGAAACCCAAGAAAAATATTCAAATTGATATCATAGAATAAGGAAGTAGATTTGCTAGGATTTCCTCGAGACATAAGCTACTTAAGAAAAGCCTAAGAATTTCCCATCATTGTGGCTTTGAATGTGGATGCCGAAGCATGCAAACTGCACGTAATTTCAATAATTCTTCTGTCATCAGTAAAAGGCCCCAAGAGATATTAAATTCATCCTTTATAGTGAAATAAAAATTTGTGAAAAGTCCCAAAAAGTTGGTTGATTCAACCAACTTCAATTATTGAATACATATTTAAGAGTAGTTTCTATTTAAAAGTTTATAATGAAATAGGATAAAAGTTTTTCTTTTCTCTCTCTCTACTTACTTATGATTTTTCGAATATCTTGTTATAAAACTTCTTGAGAGCTAACTAGAAAGACTATATAGAGTACGAGAATCAAAATAAGTCGAACGATAACCAACGAATAAAGAAAAAGCAATTTTTTTGATGATAATTTCCGAGTTTAAAATGAAATTTCTTTTTTTTTTCTTATGAAAGAGAATGAAGAACCACTTTAGAAATTTGTAGATGAATAAAAAAAGTTCTTTTGATTTACAAAAAGAAGGAAAGAAATTAAATAAAGCATGAATGACAATTTGTTAAATTATATTTGATGAAACTTTTCTTTTATCGCTTTCCATGGCCAGGGATGTTAATTTCATTCATTTTCTTCGATTGACATCGATAACTTACAATGTCAAGAGCGGAAGTTTAATATTTGTCATGAAAGTTCATAAGGAAAACTTAAATTTGAAAATGTAAATTTACCGTAAAATGTTATCGAATCATTCATGGCAACGACTAACAACTCCATGAACTTTATCATTTCAGAAAAACGACATGACATGATGGTGACTGTTATCGTTATTTGCATCTTATACTGAGATGGATAGAAAACTTTTCTCCCTTTTTTACACCCCCGAAAGAAACTTTTAAAGGCTTGAATGTTTTTCTAGTTTTCTTGTGCGATAAAATAACGAGAAGCTTTCAAGTTTCTACCATCACCACAAAACTTGAGTGTCATAAACGCCACAGGCCAATATTATCACACCACCTACACCATTCATTGGTGTTTGACCTCGTTTTTGAAAATGGTGACGATTTAAAATTCAAAATCCCCTTGCATCTGTTCCTTTAAGCCTCGAACAAATAATTTTGCAAAACTCTAAATCATGAAACTGTGAGAATGACATGTCAGTGTAGCATTCACAAGCTTTGATTCATAAATATGTGAATTAAACGATGAATTGCGTTTATTTTCCGCGAATAAAGGTTCGTTACATCAGCTGACATTGAAATTCACTGATCACTATCATCGAATGACATTCACATCATGTCGGAAGAGAGAAAAAGAAGATGATGAAGAAAAAATGGTTCGAATCTTATTTTTTATTATATTTTCCGCTGACAGAATCTCCGTTCAGTTCCGATGACATAATTCACATGCAAATATTCCCACAAGCAGCAAAAGTGTCTGTGACGGTGAGTCACAAAGATGTGAACTATTAAAAAAATGAGAGCTTGGTAGGCAGACACAAATCTTATCACTTTTTGCAAAATGCAAATGTGGTAGATCTACATAAAAGAGTTTGGGTATTTGCAAATTGGAATTAGCAGATGAGAAATTATGCCAGAAATAAGAAGTCGAATAATTTAACACTATCACAACTTCTTTTTTTATTTTGGCGACAACAAAACCTGATTCCTTATATAACGACTCTACTCTGCCAAGTGTCGCATCACATTGTGTCCACATGAACGCATCTCTTTGACAAACACCAGTGCGAAGAATCGAGAAATCTTTCGGTCAGCACCCGAAACAAGATTAAAACTTCTTGAAATCGAAAGTGAATTGGCTTTGACTGACTCAGACATGATTTTTTGCTTATGTCTGTGGTTGAGTCTGCGAGATAAAAATATAAACGTGGACAATGTTCATATTCGACAGCAATATGAAGCATGCTTTAGAAGATATTTTTAGGATTCTCGAAATTTTCATGTCTCATTTTCAAACCAAACTAGAATAAAAGCTAAAACTCCTATAAAAGTTTAAACCAGCGAGAAAGAAATGTCAAGGTTGATTGTCAATTTAGTGTTTTTTTATTAGATATTCGTTCATCGGACTTTTTCTTCACTTTTCAGTGTCAACTTATTTTTTTATTATGGTCATTGAATTTGTGACGTTTTGTTATAGTTTCTCTTTTGTTATTAAATTAATTTTGTTTAATAACTTCTTTTGAAACAAATGATGTCACATAATAATTTGCTTGCATGTATTTAAGTAGGAAAAGTTGTCTTAAATAAATAATCATCAACAAAATCTCAAAGGTCTTTAAGAGATTACTTTTTTTATGAAAAGAAGCTTAAAACTTTTAAGCTTCCTTGAACTTTGACAAATGTGACATCATTGCTTTCATAATTTAATTTTGCAACATGGTGAAGACAGACATTCAAAAATAATTTGGTACAGATTCAGTCACAAATCATTAATATCAAAACTCTACCGCTTGAATAATGCCATCGCCAGCTTCTAATATCGAATTTGGGTTGCGCGAAAATCAAAAAAAAAAAATAACGAAAAAGAAAAATTCCTTCGCATCAAAATATATCTCGTTGTATTGTTAAGTTTTTTTTGTCTGTTTCATGATGGTGTTTGATAGACGTTTTGCATGGTAAAGTGATTAATTATGTTATAAAGTCGCATCATGATGGTTTCAAGAAAGAAATGTGATTTTGAAATTGTACAATTTATGAACGCTTCTTCACGTGTTACGTTAGTTAACTCGCCGCCTGCACATCATCATCTTGACAACAGCCAATGATTGCTATTGCAACTTTGAGTATTTTATGCCAATAAACATCAATAGCTGACAATCATGAAGCAATAACAAATCTTAAGGAATTCGATTGGAAAAACATGAATCAATCTTTAAGCAGTTGTCATCAAATTCTCGTTAAGAAGGAACTTGAGAAGACGACACTCTGACTGTTGCTTGATTGCGTCTTTATGCCAATGATATGTGAATGGAGAAGTGGTAAATTGCATGGAATTTATTTTTGCTGTTTCATATTTCAGTTCTAAGAAAAAAAAAGTGAAACTTCAGCTGAACGACCTTAAAGCTCGATTTCTAATAGCTTAGAACTTCAAATAACTTTGATTTCCATCAAATAATAATATATCATCATCACATATTTATTCAGTTGAATCAATTTACTTATCTACAGATTAACTGATATTTATGATGATTGACGAAGATGAAGAAGAAAAAATTGATCATCGCACAAATTAAATCGAATTTTATATTTTTATAGGCACACACTTCAATCCATCTAGTTCCCCTCTCAAGACAAACAAAGTAGAAATGTCAATTTATTCAACATTAAATGTTTATTTAATTTTTTTCTTCTCCATTCATTCGAGCGGTGTCGTCTCTTTAATATTTAACATTAAACGAGAAAAAGAAGAAAAATAAAAATGATGCAAATTTATGAGAAAAAAAAAGCAAGCACTACACAAGCAAACAGACAACAACAAACGAGCGATCTATCTTCGAGACCTCCGCCGAATATGTATTGAAAATATTACCTTTTTTTCATCTTCCAATTCAGTTGGATTTTGAATTTCGTCGCGACCAAATCAACTTTTTTTCCACTCGAAGTCAGTTCGAGAGACGCGGATTAAATAATCTCATCTCTTTCGTTTTGCTTACTTTGTCTTTGGCTCATCTCTTACTTAGTTACTCACCACAAATCAGTTTAGTTCGACGGGTCATATCAAGATGTCAAAGATTTCGATAGTAAACTCGTGTCTTGTTTTCGTCGTTTTATTAACACAAGGTGAGCATGTCTCATCACTTAGTGGGACGCTGAATGCAATTAAGCACTCTTTGCGCATGAAATAAAATTGCGCGGTGAAATGAGGTTAATTAAAATTTACGACTTTAAGTGTCATAAGGAACGACTGACGAAATATATAAGTTAACTTTTCTTCTTTTTTTTCGGGTTTTAACGAAAAACATTCGCACATAAAAAAGAAGTTAATTTGACAATCGCACGCGAGTGCTTTTACTGCCTTTAATTGAAGGCGAGGAAGAGTGTTAAGAAAAAAACAAAAAAATGAAAATATAATAATGAATGAAACCAGAGGAAGAAATCTTTAACGGAAAAAAGCAATTGATTACGGTGAAGCGTGTTGACTTCAAAATAAATTATATTATTACATAATTACAGATCGTCAGTCAACACATGAAAACAGTTTTTTTTTGACAATGTTGAGTGATGAAAAAGAAAACCACAATCGTAGCAAATAAAAAATGAGTTTGTTGAGTTTGTCTTTAAATTTTTTTTTTAATATTTAAATTATGGATGTCATTTGTTTTTTTGAATTTTGACTAAATTAATGCAACTTCTCTGAGACTTCATGAAACGACTTCACTCAGCTTTAAGTTTCGTTTCTTCAAATCACCATCAATCTTGCACCATCTTAAACAATGATTGTTTGGTGTCGCTTTTAATGAGCCGATGCGATGGTTGATGGAATTCCATGCTGATGTGTTAAATAAATATCATGTTTATGATGGTCACATCGCGATGACGAAGATGAATCGGCATCTACGTTGTTGACCTTTTTCTATTTCCAATTCCCCCACAACTTTATTAAAAATATTTAGATACATTGAGAATCCTTTAACTTTAACATTTGCTTTTGAATTAAGTTAGTGAACGTAAATAGCGTGGCATCAAAACAGTTTTTTTTTCTACTTCTATTCGCATCACATGAGGGTCGGTCGGTAGCACTTGGCCAATAAATAAAATTATTAAAAGTCAAATCTTAATTCCCGCCTCATATTTGCTCTCACTCGCATGGTAATTAAATTTAGATTGACGATTGAGCAACAACATCCGCATATTTCATCGCAAAAGATCAATTTATTGATGTTCATTGAAATCTCGTGATGAACTTGAGCATAATTCCGTGAGATGATTCGGTAAAGCTGGAATGGTTGCTTCACTGCGTGTCATTTTAATTTATGTTAATAACTGCTGTCGTTTAATAGTCTAGCAAATCGAACAAACACCAATAAAATAAGTTAACTTGTCAACATACATCCGTATTATTCAAAATTATTTCCTATGCTTATTTATGTTTATCATAAATATAAATAAATTAAAAAATAAAATTGATTGCATCCAATTTTCTTACAAAACTCTGTTGCATAATATTAAAGTTGATTGACCTTCAAAACACGTGAAGTTGCTGCATCGAAGCGTCAATTGAAGATGAAAAATCTTTAACATATTTTTTTATGTTGTTTCTTAAGCATTCATTCATACATCAATGTGTGTCTACATTAATTCAACAACAATAGAGTTCTCTTCGATTTAAAATTTATGAACTTGACTCATTAAAATGTTTCGATAATAAAAATAAAAGAAGGAAAGGAAATGCTGGTTTATAAACTTGAAATAATTTAATCATTTTCATGTCATAAGTTGATATCTACGTCAAAATTATAAAAGTAGTCTTTATTAATTAATTACAGCAGTGAAAATTTTAATTATTCTTTTAACATTTAAAATCTGACCTCATACGCTGAAACTTTAAAAACTTCAAGTAGACAATAAAGTAAGATTGACACGAGGTTAATTAAATACAAAGTTTAATGAAAGGTTTTTGAAAAGAAATCGAAACAAGAAAAATGTCGTCGTGCTTAAAAGATCATGAAGAATCAAGAAGTAATTGAAACTTTATATTGAGTACACTCTGCCAACAGCAACAATTTTTGTGCTATTAAATGTTTTAAGTGCGTTCGTTGAAAGGAGAAACTATGGGATAGGATAAAATTTATGTGGCACTATTAAGTTTCTGGTTATTGAAGTCGATTTTAATGAAACGAATGGGATTTTGTGAGATGAATTGGCTAGCTAGACTGAATCTCTTTTTGTCTTTTCAGCTTATACATGCCCCGAGAAAAATGGCAGATTTCCAGTCGGTTCCAGTTGCGATAGATATCTTGAATGTATAGTAAGTTGTTATATTTCTTTCATCTCATAAGAAAAATAAGTTTTTGAATCGAGTTTCTGAGACTTTTGCACTTTATTGGAATTTTAAATGTGTGTGATTTATAAAAGATTTTTTTCATATTTTATTTCTCTTTTCTTCTGATCAGGATGGAGTTGGGGAAGAAAAGTTATGTCCCGATGGATTAAGATTTAACGAGAAGGCAAGTCTGTTCACCTATCCATGCCAATATCCAATTGATGTTAACTGTGGAGGTCGTTCACAGCTTCAGGTAAATTTTACTTTCATTTTTATTATCTATCAAAGGAGTAATTTATAAAAAAAACATTCTGCTCGTTGTCTTTTAATAGCCGGCTAATCCATCCGAAGATTGTCCCCACCAGTTTGGCTACTTTAGAATGGGAAACACGCCAAATGAATGTAATCAATTTTTAAATTGTGTTGATGGCCGTGGTTACTTGTTTGAGTGCCCAGAAGGATTAGCTTTCAGTTCGGAGACCTATCATTGTGATTGGCCCGATGTAGTCCCAGATTGCGATGCAGCTAGCTATTTAGGATTTAAATGCCCACAAGATCCAAAAGTTGAAGGCTTAGGCTTTGCTGAATATCGCTTCTATCAGAAACCTAGTGACTGCCAGCGTTATTTCCTTTGTGTAAATGGAAATCCTCGACTTTACAATTGTGGTGAAGGAAACTATTTTGACAGTAATCTAAACACTTGCACAAATGAGACGACGACATGTACTTAACTTTTCTTGAATTGTGTTCATTCGCTTGTAATATTTTTGTACCATCTTTAGAAAAAAAAAAGAAGTGAAATTATTGTACATATCAAAACTCTCTCCTGAAAGCCAAACAATAAAGGATTAAGAAAATCAAGGAGTTGTTTTTTGGCAAATAAAAGTCATTAAAACCATTGAATGCAGAGAAAAAAAACCGGAAAACATTTTGTGTTTTTTTTTCTAAAAGGCTTCCGAAATCATAAATCGATAGAAATTTTCTACTTTTTTTTTTTTTTTTCGTGCTGTCTGTTGAATGTTGATGACTTTTTTTGACGCCGATTTTGTGTCGAGAGCAAACATGTTACTATCTACAAATTGCTTTTTAGGTCCTGGGAGATTTTAGATTTACTTTCTTCTTTGACGTCCCATCGCTACACACTAATTTTCCCTTTCTCTTTCATCATGATTATATGGCGTAGAGCTGTCAATGATTATATTGGAATTAGAGATGTAATTTGTATTCACAACTGTCACAATTGCTTTATTCACACCTTGCCACAATTGCTTTATTAACAACAATAATTTCATACTATTTTATTGTTTTCAAGTTTCAAAGTTTCATTTTCTGATAGTTTTAAATAATAGAACAATTTAACGGACAAATGGATTTCAAATTAAAAAGCAATTTGGATAGGTTTGTGTCTTCGATAAACTCGATTTCGAGTAACTAAACGTTCATTTACTTTCATACACAATTCTTGTTTGCTAATTAAAGTAAGGTAATTAGTGACTTCAGTTACCTTGTAAAATTAAAGATCAAATGAAATATACTCTTCTCAATATGAAGATAATCAACAGTTTAGTAAAGTATTTCTAAGTCTGATTTGTCTATGAACGAGAAACTCGAGCAGAATCAAAACAAATCAAAAGAAGTTGATAATTTTCAGTTTAATGGATACCAAAATGGAAAGCAAACAAATTTGTCGACTTTGCATGAACAGCGATGGGTACATGGTAGAAATATTCTCGAATTCTATTGTAGTTAATGAACCTGGAAAGATGAATTTAGCCGAAAAGATAAGAATTTTATTTGGATTGAATGTAAGTTGTAAATAAGCTCATATTTGGGATATCTTACAAGTGAGTCATTCAAATATTTTCTATTTAACTTTCAGATAACACCAAATGATGGTCTACCATTGGTTGTTTGTCATAAATGTCTCGTTTTCACTGAAAGTTGCATGCAGTTTCGCGATCAGTGTTTAAAGAACGATGCAGAACTGAAAATCATCTTTAAAATTAACACTACAAACATTGAAGATAATCGTCCACAAGAACCAACAGAGTCTGAAATTATTGAAGAAGATGACGATGAAGAAGTTATCACGTTGAATCCCAACAAGTTGTATGAAAGTAGTGACGAATCAGACAACGAACAGCAATCACATGATGCTCGAATTATTGAGCACAATCCAACAGTCACCATCTTACCTAAGTCATCAATAAACGTTACCACTCAATCAACAGTAAAATCAGCAATTGTTGGCAAGAATTCAACTAGAAAAGACATTTTCCATTGCCGTTACTGTGACGTTGTGTTCTCAGATAATAACGCATGCGAACATCACGAGAAACATCAACACGATCCTGTTAATCCATTTAAATGCTTAATATGTTCATTTATGACAAATCAACACACGACACTCATCGCTCATATCCGACAAAGTCACAATACTGAGAAAGCTCATCAATGTACGCAGTGTAACAAATCCTTCAATCGCCGAGCTGATCTGAGGAAGCACACGTTCGTTCATGCTGGTAAGATCTTTCTTCGTGAATAACAATTCGAATTTTAATCTCAAAAATCTCTTATTTTTACAGGTATTCGACTCTTTTCATGTGATCTTTGCAAGAAATCCTTCACACGTAATGCAAACCTCACCAAACATAAACGAACACATTCAGCGACAACTGCACGACCATGGAAATGTTCACTTTGTCCGAAATCTTTCTTTTCTAATCACGAACTGACTCGTCATTTTGAAATTCACGTCGATCGTCAATCGTTGGTGTGCAAATATTGCAATCAAGCATTCACAAGACGTGATCAACTTGAAAGTCATCAGAAGACGCATTTTGAGAATCGATCAATGTTGCAGAATGAAATTTCATCATCTGCAACCTCCACCACAGTTATCAATAATCTTCAATCACAACCTATTGTGTTCTATAATCAGCCATCAGAAACTGGTGGTGAGAATTCAACTCCGATGAATTTCTACACTGAAAATAAACCGATAAACCTCGACGATGAAAGTTTACAAGTTTTTCCATTAAAGAAGGAAGAATATCCGATAATGAATCAACTTTTAAGTGGATTAAATGTTCAATCAACACGAAACTTCATTTGCAACGTTTGTCATCACACATTTATGAAGAAGAAAGAGCTTGATCGACACATAATCAGCATTCATCATCCAAAAAAACAATTTAATTGTGACAAATGTACGAAAGTTTTCTATCGGAAAGATAAACTTTTATGTCATAAGAAAGTTCATTCGATGGAAACGTTGTTCAATTGTAAGTTTTGTCCAGCCGTGTTTCTACGCCAACAAAATCTCGATCAACATTCAAGATTACATCAAATGGAGAATGGTGAACATACACCTCAAAATCAGCTGTTATCGTTATTGCAGCAACAACAGCAACAACCGCCAGTTACAGCAGAGAATAATGGATTTTCAGGAAACAATCAATTGACGTCGACAACAATAACAAATGTCCCAATGAATCTTTCAATGAATTGGAATTCCAATGAACCGATCAATCTTTCAAATGATCGAGTTGAAAAATTCCCGCAAGCGATGAAAGTTGAAAGTTTCGAACCTTTAATGAAGACTGAACCAATATCTAATATTATTCTTGATTCGGATAATGATGATGAAAGTACTGAATTGAAAATTGTTGAAGAAAATTTTCGTGTTAAAAGTTCATCATCGATTTTCAATTTTCCCGAGAAAATTGACGTACAAGAAAATGAATTTGAAGATCAAACACCAAAGAATTTTAATGTTGATCATGAAAATGTTGCTGATATCAAAGCTGCACTCATCGATGAGACAAGAAAGCCAAACATTGATGAATTATCAACATTTGCAATGACTTCTCGAATTCCTGAATTGGATAAATTAGAACCGTTGAGAGATTTGCCGATGGAAATCTTGAATAATGAGTAGATGAATACATAAATTGTATTAGCGAGTTAATATTTATTTCCCCATGTTGAATTATACAATTATGAATTATTCAAATGTAGGATAACCCTTTAGTTATAATGTAATTAAATTTTAATTGAATTAAAAAAATAATTTAGTTAGGATATTGTAATAAAGCATTCTAATTAAATAAATAACAAAATTCTGTTTCAGTCTGAAAAGTTTTATGGGGCCATATCGTACGGTTTGATCATTTATTGTTAAATTCTTTTCTTTTAATTATATTTTCATCGTCTGAATCATTTTTGCTTTCACTGATTTTCATTTCATTATTGTGATTCTAAATTTCATAAAGCTTTCTTAATTTTAAAATTTCCATTCTTTATTGACATTATTTAAACAGAAAGAAAATTCTTTGATTCTGAGGAAATATTATTGAATGAGGAGAAAATTGTTTCATAGCTGGAAAATTGAAAAAAAAAATTAATAAAAGCTTCTTAAGTTGGAAAATACTTTATTTTGAGTTTGTTTGCTTTATGCGATGTTGTTGCAATGTTGGCTTTATTGACTCTCCTAAGTTTCAGGAAATTGTTTTATAAACTTACATGAAGCATCAATTTAACTTAAATTTTTCTGTAATTTATGTCAATCACTTGACTGCACACACATTTTTAATTGATTGAAGAGTTCATTAAAATTATATATTCATGAAACAAGTCGTTGAAGTCAAAATTCTTTGATGTATGAGGAAGAAGAACATAATTAAACATTTTCATATATTTCCAGGTATTTCATAGAACTTTCATGACAACAAATCAATGAAGAATATTTTGAAATGCTTCGTGACTTTATTTGTCATAACTATTACACTCCCGCAAACTGCGTCTAACTTTTTCTTGAATGAAATTTACAAACATACAAATAAAGAAGTTTCTGAACTTGAAATGATACAACACCTCATATCACCTGTTTAAATATTTTCTCCTTGATAAAATCTATTTTTACTCACAACATTATGTTTGCCAACTTTTGACAAACTTACGTCAATCTGAAAATCTTTTTTATCTCCGGCGATATCAAAATCATGATAAAAATGTACAAATAAAAATGTTTGTTTTGACTTTAAATATGATTCATTAATCATATTTTTAATGTTTATTTTTGCTTCAATGCTGCAATAAATTACTTAACCGTTGGTTCTTCAAAACTTAATCACTACTTTTAACTATACAATTATTTATGCATTCAATACATGAATAAATTTTGATAGTACCTAATTAAATGAAATTCTGCCATGTTGAATGTTCTTTGCTTAATATTATGTAATAAAAGAACTTAAGTTTTTTAATCTGTTAAGTAAATGCTGATAAGCAAGGTCATTCGCACTTTTAATGATAATTTTTATAATGTTTAATTATTTTCTGATTTTATGACAAGAACATCTTTAATCAATTCTTAAATTAATCATAACTTTTAATTATTTAATTTTCCACGTAATTTAGATGTAAATGTGATCGAAGTTATCTTCATTTTCAATAAAAACTTTCAATCATAGTGTTCATATGGAAAATCACGAATTTTCCCATCGCAGTAAGCCGAAGAAAGTTAAAAGAAAATTTTTATTGTCAATTGTAGTTCTGAGGAATTTCAAAGTGGAAAGGTGAAAAAAAAGTAATTTTGTGAAAAAAAGTGATTAATGTGAATTTTTTTTGTTTCATTATAGAAAGAAGCACATCACAAGCAAAAGATATTAAAATATCGAAACAATTTAAAGGAGAACGGAAGTTGTAAGTTAATTTTCTTAATTTTCTTTGTTTTTTCTTTATTTTTAGAAAAATGAAGAAATTTATTGCAATTGGATTAGGACTTACGGGATTAGCCTATTTGAGCTATCAATTGTACAATTTGTGGAAGCAATCGGAAGAACAAGATGAAATGGATGAATTTATCAAAATCATCAAAGATTGGAAAGTGAATCAAAAACTATTCAACAAGCGGAAAAACTTTCCAAGCAACGGTTTCGAATTGGATCTATGGCAGCCATTAGCTGAAGAAGATGAAGAAATTGAAGAGGAATTGGAAGTGGAAGTAGAAGAGGAAAACAACATGATGAACTTCGATGAGGAAGTGAATTATCATCTTTACCGGAATCGTCGGTACTATCCAACCTTGAATTTCAATCGGGAATTAGAACTTATTGAAGAAGATGACTATTGGGATGACTTGGATGTTGATTTTGAAGAATTTTTCTAAGTTTTGAATTGTCATTATGTAACTTTGTTTGATTATTTAATTTTGTTTTTTTTGTAGGTTTAAAGATTTGGTGGAGGGTTTATTATGTGAGTATGTTTGATTAATTAATTTTTTTTTGTTTTTTTTGTAGGTTTTAGGATTGGGTTTGACCAATCCTAAAACCCCCCTCACCAATTTTTTTCAAGGAATTCAAGAAAATATTTCTCAAAAAATTAATAGAAAAATCGAAACAATTTATAAAAATCAATAATTATAAACATAAACAAAAAAAAATCAATAAATAAATAAAATCAACCAAAAGCCATCCTCGATTTTTCTTTAACTTTATATTCATGCCATGACATGAACTTTTCAACTTATTTTCAGCTAACACTTCGAGTTTGTCACTGCAACATCTGAGTTCTTAAAATCTTTAAACTTTTACAAACTCTTAAGCCTAAATTGTAAATAAATTAACTTTTTTATTAGCTGTACATATTTG